CCCCCCCCCCCCATAAAATTGAAGGCCTGCCACGCAGGCTAGCTTTGTGTTAACCGCGCAGACAAAAACAATGGAAAGGGACTGGAACTGACGTCCTATAGCTCCTCCAATTTCCTCCATCTTGGCAAGGAGTGTGCCGACGACTTCGATTTAAACACTGATATTATGATTTTATGAACTGCAAAGTTGATTAGCGATACGGTCCGTTAGAAAAAACTGGATTTAACTGGGGAAAATGATATCAAAACTGTTTACGATTGGACGTCAATGGCCGCCAATCTTGGCTTCACTTTTCTCATAGGCCAAATGACTGAAGTTCGTGCTCCAGATATACTGTATGTATAGAGCTCACTGGTCCAACAATCGCGGACGAACAATATTGCATAATATTGGATGGAAATTTTAAACAAAGTCAAACTAAGATGTTTGTGGTATTACTCTGAGTGTGCATCCACTCCGGGCAAGCTGAAAAGTTTGCCTGATCACGGTGGGAATCGAACCCGCGACCTTTGGGATACTAGTCCAATGCTCTACCAACTGAACCACGAGGTCAAGTCGGTTGGAGTTGATATTTCGGAACTGAGTCGACCATGTCAAGTCCGTAATGTAAACAAATCCTTTGTTTACATTTTGAACTGCAGTATATTTGTAAAATAAGACACACTAACTGAATATCTAACACTTTTCTGGTTTGCAATTGTAAATGAATATAAACTAGAGTATGTTTCAATTCAAAAAAGTTCGAAAGATGCAAAATTTGGGCAATGTTTATATCTGTGGGTCCCCCTATGAGCAAAACTGATGCGCAGTACTGACTTGACATGGTCTTTAAGTGTAGCCAAATTTAACGTCGGATATGGTAGCATATAACCGTATACGATTAAATAAACACAGTTCCGGCCGGAACTTAAAACATTGGGTCCAGCCTTTGATGCAGCTTGCCAGAAAATCCGATACAAAGGCATTTTGATGCACAGGTATTTTGAAGTGCTGTAGATTGATTAACTATATCGTTCATAAGTTCTTTGTATGTTTGCATGGTGATAAAATATAATAGTTTTGTTTGTGGAAACACCACGTAAATTTATTACTGCATAAATAATGCAGTAATAAATTTACGTGGTGTTTCCACAAACAAAACTATTATATATCGTTCATGCTTACTTTTTACTTTCTAGTTAAATATACTGCTCGAATAACAAGACGGAATTCGCTGACCTTGCCAACACAAATGTCAGGTAGGTACTTATCTTCATCCTTGGACAAGCTGTCCTGCACAACTCCGCGTCGCACCACACCACCCTAAGTACCAAACAGAGAGTGGCATGGCCTCTTTGGTATTGTCTCCGACTGTGTATGGTTGTCCCGGGGTGGATTTATAGGGGGGGGGGGGTGCACACCCCTGTTGGCCTTGGTCAACAGGAGTGCGAAAAATCAAATTCAGAACTATGGCATAATTTCCAAGGTTTTTCCTTTTTTGAAGTCAAACTGAAGCTCATAATTCAATGCCTATATCGCAGGAAATGGCATTTTTAGGGTTCTAATTTTCAAAATTTTCCGGGTGCATACCCCTGGACCCCCTAGAGAGCTCGCGCCTTCGGAGCTCGAGTCATTAGGAAGCCAATCAATGTGAATGCTCTCCCACCACCCCCAAAAGAATTATAAGGAAAAATCGGTTCCACCCACACCCCCCCC